ATTTTCTTTTACTGCTTTAGCTGCATTCCACTTATATTTTTTTACATTTTGTTTCATTTTCATTTACTTCCAAATACTTTTTTTTACCTATAGAGCCCTCTGAATTTGTTGTCTAATTCATAATCAGAGATTTCCCATTACCTCCTTATTACTGGTTTCTAACATATTTTATTAAAGTGAGAGATGATTTTTATAACCTGAATTCTTTTACCCTGATTTACATGAGTGGTCTCTGTTCATATATTTTTTCACAAAGTACAAATTACTCTCGGATTTAATCTGTGTCTCCAGCTGTGCATTAAACACTGGCTTTTTCCATGTTTCATTCTTTAGTAATGCCCTCCTTCCCTTTCTCCACCTTCCCAATCTCCTACATCTTCCCTCCTTCCCAAATCTCCTAAATATAGAGTTAAAGCTTTATTTGTATGGAGTTATGCTAAATTATTCTTCTATATCTTTCATTTCACATTAAATACATAAGTAATTTCTTTTTAGTGATTAATTTACCATTACAAATTAATACTCCTTACGTGTAGGGGATGGATATCCGGTAAGGCTGGATCATTTCTTGTCTGTGGCTCATCACCAAAGTATGCTTTATTCTCTACTCCATGTATATCTCCAGGTGGGCTGCCAAGGAGGAAATTAAATGCTGAAACCAGCAATGTGACAAACCAAGGGCTGTTATTAAATAATTGATAAGTATTTAAAATACTGACGTCTAAGTCATACCTATAACAAATCACAATGTCTGTAAATGGGAGCTGGCATTAGTCATTTTTGTAAGGTCTCCAATTGACTCTCGGGTACAGAAATGTTTGGAAACCTCTGGGATACACATTTGATAAAACAAACGATGTAAAAGCTTGATACCCCATGATCATCATCTGATCTTGCTCAAGAAGGTTATATCCCTCCTCCCCCCGTCAAGTGTCCTTTATGTCTACAGTTTCATAGGTTCTCAGTAATGCTTATGTTCAATGCATGCTAAATGCACTTACCTCTGGACTTGCTTCAACGTAATACATTTTTGGTAACGAATTAATAATATGACAACCCCAACACCGACAACAACTAGCACAAGAACCACAACCAGGATGATGATATCTACAACATTTAAAAATATGGATTTTGGTTAAAGTGTGAACTGTAGGGCAGGGAAATATTAGCCTGATTAATTTTAATGACATTATTATAATTGCTATAAGCTCCTTTCCACAAGGACTTTAATTTCCCCCCAAGTTAGGGCCAAAACATACACATTACTATCTTCTTTAGAACTGCTAACTCCATGCTGATTTTACCAATCTTTAAGGGAGTTACAATCAGTGGGAAAAACTCTTTGATTATTAGCTATTTATTGCAATCAGACAGTACTTGCTGTCTTGAGGGTTCTCAGAAGAGTTTTGCCAAATTCAGCCAGAAAAGGATACATTGATTCTACAACACAGCAGTCACAAACAAACTCACTGCCACTGAGTCAATTCTGACTCCTAACGAAAGACAACAGTAGTGAATTCTAATTCAGACTTCAAAATATGCAAAGAAATATAAAGCTCGTATAAATATGTACAAGATCTTAACAAAGAATTTAACAAACTTCGATAATTAGATATTTCTGGCAAGACTTTTCACACACACGATCATTGATATTTGTCATTAATTAATATTCCTGAGATGCTCACTGGTAACATTTAAGGTTTCTTCCCAGTCTAGAGACCCTTGTTCTTCACACTGGCAATCCACTTCATGACCATCCACCTCAAAAAACAATAAATGAGATATTTGTTAAAAACTGACATAGATCTACATTTTACATCTCACATGTATTCACATACACTCAAACATTTGATTGATTAATCAACTAAACTGAATGCAAAAATCAATATTGCACAAAAATAAGCCAACACAATGCAAGAAGCAACACCTTTAGATAAGTCCTTTAAAAAAGAAAAACAATGAATGACGCTGATAAATTTAAATATAGGTTAACAGCCCAAATTGTTTAGTCAATATCTTTATATAAATGGCCCATGCTAGAGGTAGGGAGCCCTAATGGCATAGTGGATTATGCTTTGGGCTGCTGACCTGGAGGTCAGCACTTCGAAAGCACCAGCCACCCCGTAGGAGAAAGATGAGGCTTTCTACTCCCTCAAAGACTCAGAAACCTAAGGATCAGTTCTACTCTGTCTTATAGAGTCCCTGTGAGTGGGAAACAACTTGATGGCAGTGAGTTTGTTTTAGCTTTGCTAGAGTTCGACATATTCTAAGCAAAGAACAGACTTCAATGAGGCTTAGGGATGACTGGGTAATGTTGCAGGGGAAAACTGATGATGCAATATTTAGTTCGTAAAACACCAGCATTGCTCACGAGGCAGGTATGTAGACCCTGAAGTGAGCTTCTATGACTTTAACCCCCAGACTCACTAACAAATTGTGCAACACCAGTGTTCCTGTGTTTCTCCCTCTGTTAAAGTGGGCCTAGACTTAGTGCTCACCTCTTAGGTAGTTACACAGATTTTAAAATTTAGTATACACTTATATGCATATGGCACTTGAGAGAGCGCCTGATAATACATAATTCTACATCAGTGTTATAAAGGAATCAAGTTTAGTAAAGGTATTATCCATAAACTAAAACTACTAAAACTGCTCATTTTAGTGTTAATTGATTAAGAAAAAGAAACTATGTCAGTTTTGTTCTCAAGAATATATAGTTAAAGTTAATATTACTATAACATAACTGACTTATGATCATGTCAATGTTATGTTACGATCTCATATATTCCTCAGGGTCTAGATTACCAATGTAATTTCATAATAAAACATATTTGCAATAGTGAAAGTACCTATGTGTAATACCTGATTTGGCTATTTGGATCAATTCCAATGATGGCATAAGAGGAAAATGGATCTGTAGTGTGTGTTTGATTGAAAAAAACAAGTGTACCTAAATATATGAGGCTGTTCTTCAAAAAAAAGGGAACCGCACTGGGCAGAGCCGAGCTTTCACAGTACGCCTGTTTCCTGCGAGGTGAACATCAAGCAACTCGCTCTGAGTTAGCGCCCCCAGTGGCATCACCTGGGAAGATTCTCTCTAGTCACAGTGAAGTTTTTGTAAAAGCAGTTTCTCTTGAACCTCATGTTTTGTGATGGCCGATTTAAGAGGATGGTGTGTGGCTGTGAAGTTTTGTTTCCTGCTAAGGAAAACTGCCACAGAAACTTCTGTGATATTGAACACAGCTTACAAGGACAGTGTTATGGGAAAAACTCAAGTATGAGTGGTTTTTCTCATTTCAAAAAGGGTGAAATGTCTATTGATGGCAAACCTCATTCTGGACGTCCAGTAACTTCCTGAATGGATGAAAATGTTGACTCATAGTGAATTTGGAGTTTGTTCCACCAGGTCAGACTATTTATCAAGCTTTCTATTTAGAGGTTCTTAAAAGATTGTATAACACTCTGTGACCAAAA